ATTTAGGAGGAGAGTTAGGAGAATTGGGCCCGGTAACCTACCTCACACGGAACATCGCTGTGGTTGTTTCACACTGTTTTTCTGTGACGCCGTAGTATTACTCCTATCGACTCAGCCCATTCGTGCCTAAGCAATGCTCTCCAACAATTGGTTGCAAAGAAAGGAGCTGGTAACTATTATTTGTACTGTATTTATATCTCTCGCTCGATTGTGACCAATGTTAATGTTTTTGAGAGCACGATATATGTATTGCCAAAATATCACATTTTATTTGCCGATCATACTGGTAAATTTAGATTATGTTGTAAGCAAATATTAGTAAGACCTTATTTTATAATGTTTTATTTGCGTATTTAGATCGAAATTTTAATGAGGTATGTCAAACATTGTACAATTTGCGGAGATAGAAAAGGATAGCATTATATTGGAATACTTACAAGTACTGTCTACCAAAAAGGTGGATAGAGAATTGCAATTAATAAACTTTTATTTGAACGAACTGTTACAGAATACTTGAGTTGAGTTTTCGATTAATATGAATGCACAGTTGACGCGGTGGCGGGGCAACCGGCTGTCGTGCAACGTATCGCGGATTCGTTTCCCTAGCGGAAGAACTTTGTGTGATCCACTAATTGTTGTTCCGTGTCTGGGTTTGATATGTACGTTTGTCAACGCACCCATGATATAGGACGGGCACGCTACCATAGCAGCGGTAAGACCCCTCTTTGAGGAGTGGCTTGAGAGACGCCACGGCGTCCTCACCTTCCGTCTGACGCAGGTGCTTACCGGGCACGGCAGCTTCGGTAGGTTCCTGTTTCGGATTCAGCGGGAGGAAACGCCCGAGTGTCGTCATTGTGAGGACCACCTAGAGGATACGGTGGAGCATACGGTAGCGGTATGCCCTGCCTGGGCTGAGCACCGCCGTATCCTCAGGGAAGTGATCGGCGGCGGCGACCTCTCGCGCCCGGCCTTAGTCGAGGCCATGGTGCGGAGTGAGAGGAACTGGGACGCCGTCTCCTCCTTTTGTGAAGCAGTCATGCTCGCAAAGAGAGAGGCGGCCCGCGTGAGGGAGCAATCCTCCTCCTCACGCCCCAGCAGCCGCAACTGGCGACACTACGGGCGTCGGGGATCGAGGGACGATCTCCGGCCACCGTAAGTACGGGCCTGCGGTCGGCGAGTAAGGGCAGCTCGCCGCCCGACCAGAACCAGGCCCGAGCGTACGGCGCGTAGCGTTCCGCGCGCGCCTCAAAGAGCCAATAGACCACCACAGACGGGGCCCTAAAGGGCTGATGTTCAGCCGGGGTTGCGGGGTAAGCGCAATAAGGTACCGCGACCTCGGCACAGAGCAGGAGAAGGAACAGGGGGGTTTTTAGTCAGTAAGAGTCTGACACTCCCTCCTGCCCGGCCCTGGGCGGGAGAAGTCATTTGATGATTTTCCCCTCACAAAAAAAAAAAAAAAAAAAAACCCATGATATAGGAAAAGACAATAGTGTGAAGCAAGGGTTTTTTTAAAAAAGAAGTTATAGCAATTGTACGCAGAAGTCAAAGGTCGTCTTATTACAAGCCAATAAGGTTTTCTGATACAAAAATAATAATAAAGTACCCTGGAAAAGCAGGATGCTTAAAATTTTCACGTAGGGAGGCACTAAACACAAGATCGCACTTATGATGTAGGATGTTTTAAACAAAACAAAGGAAGACTGTCGTCGAACGGTTTCGATACAAAAGGTCCCCTTATATTCTTTCACATCCCTATTCCATGCATGTCTATATTTTTACGATCTGTGTCCATGCGTCGTGTTCCATAAATCCCATGGAATATTTAGAAGAACAAAGCCGGTTGCGAAATTTAACGTCCATGGTTATATGGATTTTGGCGTCAATCCAATACGCAGTATGGTTACATATATCTATGTTTTATACGCATTTTGAATAAAAGGCCTTACAAGCTTATTTTTGGCAATCGCCATTTGTCTCGCTTTCACTGAAATGTGGTTGTGGGTAATCACAGAACGACTAATTAATTAGCGGTCTACCGAGTAGGTAGGTACTAAGTGTTGACCAATTATAGAACTCTATTGTCGAAAATTAATCTCTGACTTTTCGAAGCGCTTTAACTAGTAGCAATAAATTATAAGAAGACGAAGCATTGAATAATCAAGGTGTTCTCGATAAAATTATGTCTTTATTAGCTTTTCAATTCCTCAATTCTCAAACGTACCAGAAGTAAAAAATTAGGCTGATTGAGTATTGGGTATTGGTAGTGTTGAAATGAAGCTAAACGGACAGTTTACGCCTTCAAATAAATTGGAAATAGTGATGATTGGAAATTGTATTTAGTCATGATTATGAAAAACTATCTGTTACTCACTGATGATGTGGATGTAAATTTGAACTATGCAATGCAGCTATGCCAAAGAATAGAATATGCCAAAAGAAAGAAATTACGAAGGACCATATAATAATGTATTGTCTTAGATACTACAGCTTATAAAACCACTAAGAATATTCTGGAAGAGGCCGTAAAAACAGATAAATTGAACCAATAAAGTCGTAAACTAGAAATCAAAGAACATCAAAACATACATTTTATTACTGTAGAAAACATACTCTTGTAATCTTACAAACTTGTGTATTACTCCTATCAAATAATGTGGAAATCGGTGACGTAATATCGGAAATATGAAACAAAAGTCGAACGATACATTATGATTATGCAAAATGACTTCCGTCTACCTTATCTTAAAGATTAAAATGCCGTGATAACAAATTGTTCGCGTAGGTACAATGATTTATGACCTACTCCTACGTAATGTAATCTCTAAGCAGGAATACGATTATACTTTTGTTAAAAAAGAAATATTTGTTCGCGTTTCTGTATTCGCGATTTTTTTCACTAATGGTTAGTCTGACCTTTGTTTAAAATATGTTAATTAAATTAAAAGAATGATGCGATAATATGTACAACGGACATTGTCAAGGTCAAGGTCAAATCATTGTTACAGATGGTGTTGTTTTTAAATGCATACCATCTTTCCTAGTCTGTTAATGTTTAGGTGTGACAAGGAACTCTTCCTTTCATTTATACACCATTAAAAATATTTAGTTTCTTTTGATAAAGTTATTTTGATTAATGTAAAACTACCGTGATAACAGTAGTAATATATCTTTCATAGATGCGATGATAAATTAGAAAATTAGTTGTCAGGTGACGTAAAAAACCAGCAATATTAATTAATTTTTCCAATTTTTTCTTACGCGCAATATCATGAAGTCGTAACAAAAATTGATCATTTACTTAAAAAGTCAGTCACATAACATGCGTAAAAAAGCCGTTCTCAATCCCGAACATCGACACCAACTGAATAATAAACGAAGAGTGGCATTTAAAACTTCCCTAGAGTCGCGGGTGGAAACAGTTGCCAATCAGAAGGTCAAGGTCAAATACACCATGTACCGTACACGGAAATCATAAAGGAATGAAACAAGCGACGAAGTTTGGAGAGCTATATCCTTCCATACGCACTCATATTTGTCATCGTAACAAGGATTTTATTGCCTTACTTATGTTATTGCCCCTTTTGTCGCCCTCTCCGCTGGTGAACATAAATATTACTTTGCATACCACTTCTTAAATTGTATTACATTATAATGTTGTTGGTAAATTTTCTTGTACAACTTCTTTTTGTTCTCAGTGTTGAGAACTTTCTTAATATTTAGATATGATTCTGAATTTTTTTTTTAATCAGTCTGAAGTTCACCTTTCAATCATTAACTCTTATCATAACTATGTCTCGGAAAGTGTTCTCGAAAGCAGTTAAGGCGTCAACGTGTTTCTCTTATAAAGCTTATCCAATTATTCAATTTGACTGAACGAAAATGAAGTTACGTGTGTAGTCGCCACTTAAGCCTCTCGTCTGAGGGTTTTATTGAGTTTGAGTGAGCTCTTAAAGAGGAGGCTTCCTGGGGAGTCCAAGATTCTGCTGACGTAATGCCATTGTGGGCTGTAAGTAGCAACGTTTCCGTGTGAGTTTATTTCGCCCGCGAAAGATCATTTAAGGGAACGCGTCAGAAAATTTGAAGAGGTATTTTCGTGGAATCTCTATTTTAGAAGTATGTCAAAGTAAATTAAAAATCCCAAAAATCCAGTGCCTTCTAAATAATCAAATTGTTTATACGAAAAGTCGGACATTAGGTTAATAATGTATTACTTATATGTTACCATTAGGTGATAAAATAACGAAGGACAAGGAATGAGATATATGGTGAATAATAATGGTAATGATGATGTCAGTTTCATTTGTAAACAATAAATAAGTACTTCATTATCATAGGAACATTAATTACCTTCTGAGGGAGTGGTCTTGTGAACAAATCGTAGGACATAAATCGTGAACCTGGTACTTAAATGCGTAATACAGAACGAGGATATAAGATGTATTAGATAATCCGATAGAAATAAATCCAGTAACAATTAGAACTCTAATGTAATAGATTTAAATGTCACGTGTATCGTGCTTTACTTATACATAGGGCGGACCACATGCGCCAACGACACATGGCTCTCGAGGTTTTATTAAACGGATTCTTCTTCCTATTTGCCGATTGGAAAATTCCCCGAGAGGGACTGGGAATTCGATTATGCCTGTCGTATGCCTGTCTTGTTTGCTTGTCTACTGTTCATAGTAATGAAATGTAGTACTGTAAAACTATTTTTATTCATATCGCACCTGGCCATTTGTGAATCCGGCTAATAAATCGTACGGGTAACGAAAAAGTGACGTGCATTGTTTTTTATTGAAACGCAAATAGAGGTTGGCATTATTCGGGATAAATGGAACGTGGAAATATTTGCACTTCTATAGAATTTGATACTGCAATGTTCGATGCTCGTGTTTATTTTGTACGAAGTAGTGCTGTGCCCGGCCAATATGCCATACGCGAAATATTTTATTGGAAAATGTTTTTTATCTCTTTGCTTATGAAGGTTTTTTTTCCAGGTGTTTGGTGTCGAAATTGTTCGATGTCTGCTCGAAGTCAACCCCCGAGCAGATGGAACAGCTCGAAGAGATTAGGATACCGTGGGGCAGTGGTATCGTTGGCTATGTCGCTGAAAGTGGAGAGCCCGTCAACATACCCGATGCGTATAAGGTATGTAAAATACTTCTTATTAGTTTAAAAGCTAATAGAAAGAACATATTGTATTCTTTTCATTTAGGTTAAAGGCCTGGAAACTGCCTTTAATCAAAAATATATAATTTTAAGTTTAAATAAAAAAAATGTTTCTTATCTCAGTCTTTTGAACACTACTGACACTATCTAGAATTTTAGTTCTTGGCATTTTAAACTACTCTAATTATATTTTAAGCTCGACCGCAGTAAATTATATCGTGACACTGAAACGTCTGAAATACTCGTTATAATCAATGTCACAATTTTCGTCAGTCGACTTTTTATTACGGGAAATTGACAAAATAATACGTACCATGTTTCTCAGAATTAAAAATTATTCACCTCCACTTGGGGAAAATTCCTGAATAGAAATTCGTAATGAAATCCTAGAACTTTTGCCACTCGACCCTTACGATAGAGCTAAACAAATCGAAGCAAATCTTATCAAATGAAAAGGTAAAGAGATTGAATTTATAGAAAAACCAGAAGGTTCCTAAATGAATGGCCGCCTACGACCTAAAAATCACTTAGGTAATGAATAAATTCCCGCAGATAACTTTTTAGAGTCTACGCCTTAAGATGTGTTATGAAAAGAAGTAAGCATAGCTCACAATTCAAAGCTACCTTATTTCACGTCCCACTTGATTCTAAAAATAGCTTACGTAATGAAAATTCTCATCTTAAGAATGTTTGGAAAACATAAACCAAAATAGCAGCTTCACCGTAAGACCATAATATATCTGCATTCTTTTTTTTATTTACTTTTTCACGTCCTCGGAATAAGTGAACCGCCATTTTTTTAATTGGATTAACTTCATCCGAGTAGAAATGCCATGTTCGTTCAACATTAAGATTATTTAAGATATTTACCGCAACCGAGGCTGTATCAAATTGGACGTTGCAGTGAAGTATGACAGGAAATGTTGGTTTTTTGAAATATGACGAACTGGAACTTTAAGAGCATATTAAAATAAAGTTGGTGTATGAGAAGACATTGAGGTGTATTTTAATCGGTTGGAGGATTTATACGTATTATTGTCAGTATTGTCAGTCTTGTTAATTTAAAATGCTTGACCTATCTTCCATGTTTTTGGTTGACCATCCCATCATTTGATAAGAATAGAACAAACGTTATATGTTTAAATGATTTATAGAAGAATGTAAACTTGTTCATTCTATACAAGTAAGTACATATATGCAAGTAAGCGAGTGTGTCGATCAGGACAATATTAAATAAATTAAATAAAATATCAAATGTCTTTAGAGAATCGAAGAGTTTATTTCTGTAATAATTGTGTGCTTACGAATGCAAAGTATATTCCCACTTATAATATGTTCAAAGTTGAAGTTAATTGGATAAGTTATGGTATGTGTATGTTATTAGGAACTTGAACGCAAATATAAGAGTTAACAATATTACTTTTTACTTGCTGTTACATACTAATTGTAAAGGCGTCATTGTCGAAATCGGAATAAGTTGATAAAAAGTTAATTTTGCATTTTTTTTTTGTTATTATACTTTAATTAAAATTCAGGTAAATAAAATAAATTGTATTTCATACAATAGGCAATTCGAAAAATGAAAAATTAAATATGGCTGCCAATGTTTTGGAATTTTATTGAATGGTTTATTCTGATCAATCTAGCAAGTTTACCAGTGCACCTAAGTTGTTGAAATTTATTTAACCTTTTCCTTATAATCGTTAATAAACACAGATGTATTTCGTTCCAGCTTTAACAAATTATGCGGAAATATTTAAGGCAATAATATGTCTATATTAATTAAACGATTAAAATTCATCGGCAAAGTCATTATTTGAAGGAAATCCATCGCGATTATTAGCAATAACGTACGTCTTTAGCAAAGTTTCAATCCCGAAATCTCCAAATCCCTAATCCTCAAACGGTCGGCAACGCAGTCGTAACTCCTCCTTTGTTGCGGGTGTTCATGGGCGGCGCTGATTGCTTACCATCAGGTAATCCGTTAACTTGTTTGCCGACCAATAACATAAAAAAAGTTATCGAACATTTTGATGCAGCCTTTTTCGACTTTAGCTCCCGGCAATTCATTTTTAGTATTTTCATTCATATAGATAAAGATAAAAGAATCATATTTAAAACGACATGTGAGTTAATGAAGCTAACTGATGTTTTGTGCCCAACGAATCCCTCTCAGGGTCATGAAATATATGAGACGCAAAACAAAAAATATGTAACTGTAATATCCTTTTACGAGCGAGCATTAAACACTGACAGAAGCACCGCTTACGGTACTCTGTGTATTATTATAGTCATGCATATGTACTTGTAAATCTAAATACTATTTTTTTACGAGTGGTTATAATTATGATTTTTCTTTATGACAGTAATATGAATACCTAGTAATGAGCAAGTGAGTAATAACTTTCGTGTGACTTTTTAAATTTTTATGTTTAACTGTTTGGCGAGGATCTGGACTAATTTTAAGTCTCGCTAGGGGCTCATATATGTAAATCAATTAATTGGTATATATCGAAAACTATTATTTTAATGCCTGATCTGTATTGCTTTTGGTAGGTACTTAGAATGCATTAAGGAAGAAAATTTTTGAGAATCGATCTTGACCTCTGAACATCTGACTTTAAAACTCAAATCAAAACATGCAGTCAGTCAAAACTTTTTTTATTATTGTTAGCGTCACGTGTTTTCGTAGAGTGTACCTGAACATTATTTAAATAGACACAGAAAATACCGCGAATGAAAAAAAAAATTGTTCAACAAGAATTGGGTCAATTTTAGCGACTTGTCCATTTGATATTTCGATTATACCTACATCGTTTGTAAGTCACCTATTTTTCGATAGACAGTCATTACGTCTGCGTTTTATCACCTGAACATTTATTGGCGTGCCGACAATTTATTTCGTGTATTTCTTACTTACGCCTGGAGTGCGTCAAATGATCGAGTTCAAATAAATGCGCCATTTTTGCCTATCTACGTACCTTTCGGGTAAAAGCTACATTTTCTTTTTGATGTATAATGATTGGTTTCCTGCCTAAGCTTGAGATCAATGCAGTTACATCTGGGTTTGTATTTTCTTCAATATTTAATGAAAACAGAAGCATTTATGCTTTGGACCTCTAAAATTTAGGAAGGTTTGACAAGGATAGCAATAAAGCACAAACCACTGCTGTGGGAATAAGATATCAAGCTAAAAGTTAGCGTATAAAGAAATATCTGAAAAATTTGGCAGCGCAGAGCTAGTAAATAGCCGTGAAAATAACAAAAATGATTAAGTATTAGCAGCCATATTCTAAAGACTTATAATATGCTGCACTTACAATGTAGTAATGTTTCCCAGAATTTCTTTCCACTGCTCACTTAAGAGGTTTCAATGCAATTTCATGTGATGGACGCCTAAAGGCGTTGAAGGAGCTAACTTCCATTATTCAAACGCCGCTGCAATTTTTATACCTGACACATTGTTGGCATTCACGCCCATAGCCGTTAACGGGAAAACATTTTATAAAACCCGTGTCTACTTTCCCAAGAAGAAACGATCACTTGATTTTACCATAACCAAGAATCACATTACCTAATGGAAATTCTATGTAATAATTTCATTGCAAATGTTGGCTTATGTCCGTAATTTCGGTGATGTCAGATCATCCATATTTATATTAATTAACCCATTTCATTGAATTAAAATTGACCGTGAATATTGTCAAATTGGTCAGTGGTAGCCACAATTTATTGGAGTACCTTTTCGATAAATTATACTAGAACTGACATTAGACTTAAGTAAAAAATTAATGGAGAATCCTTAGCGAAGTGACTTATCCATTTACTTACAACTTTTAAATGAATGAAGATCATTTGATTCCAGTAAGCTTTTGATACGAAAATGTCTATAGGGTCTTGTAAAATATTATTTAAAATGCATTTAAGTATCTTAATTGCTTCGCTATTTATTTTATGTACAAATATTAATGTTGAAAAAAACATGCACGCACTGGTTTATTCTACAAACATAGCCTAGCTTCTACTTAAGAATTCTGTCGGGTGTAAAGCATAACAGAAACAATACTATGTAACTATTTCTCTAATGAGTATTAAAATAAATGTCGTCCTTATATGTAAAATTAGATATTAGGATAAAATATTTATCCTCTTTTTCAATTAAATTGTTATTTGAGCTAAGTGTTGATAATAGTTTTCGCAGCTATGATTTAGCGTGGGCGCACAATACCTGCCAGAAACTTACTTAGTTACGGAAACATCCAGAAAAAATTTTTTTAACCTATCCTAGCGACCTTTTAGAGTGTGGGCGTTAAAGAAGAGGCTAATATCAATTCTATTTACGCAACTATAGATACAATTATGAAAAGAAACTCCCCAAAAAATACTAAAGTGCCTTAAAAAGCCATGTTTATAAGGTACAACAATGGATGGACTTAGTAGACTGGCCGGTTGTATTTTTAGCGCAGTATAAATTGAGTGAGCGTCTAGTAACAACCTTCGTAGTCATAGATCAATTTCAGCCTCGCACCTGTCAAAACTTTCTCCTGTACCGTGTAGGTAATTGTTTGCGGTGTTTCGCGCTAATGCTCCCAAATTCCTACCGACTAGACTGTCGGATTTCGAGCCCCGAGTGCTTCGAAAATACAATGGAACTTTTAGTAAATCAGTAATTAGTAATGTGGTTTTAGTACTAGTATATGTTATTAAACATTAAGGGCTGATTTTTCAATAGTCAGATAAATGTTATCTGATCAATAATATTGTTGCTGTCACTGTCTTATATAAACATTCTGACGCGACAGCATCATAATTATTCTGTAGATAACTTTTATCTAACCGTTGAAAAATCAGCCCTAAGTGTTATGATTGTATTTTGGTTTTAATTCTATTTTCGGGTTGATGTTCATTCCGTTTGTGCAGTGTGGGCGTGTTATTCTTATTGCTCCGATATAGAATATGTTTGCAAGTACTTGAAGGTA